AATAAATAAATTTACTTGGTGATTCCTGACTTTTTTAAGGAACAGATTTTAAAAAAAAATTTAAAAGCCTCACAGAAGGGGCCGGTGCGATAGCTCAGTGGTCTAAAGCGCCTGCTTAGGCAAGCTTAGGCAAAAGCGCAGAGACCACGGTTCGATCCCCGGCACCACATGCCACACTAGCCCCCGCCTCCAGGGTGGGCTGAGTTGGCCACAATAAATAAATAAAATAAAATAATAATAGAAAAAAAAAACTCACAGAAGTATAAAAATCACCACCTTAAACTGTACCTGGGAGAATTCCAGCACTAGTATTCAACAGAACTTCCCTGGAAGTATAGGAATCTGTGTATCAAGCCCCCCTCCTTGGTATTTCACAAACAGCTGCCTGGTCAGTTGCTTCCAGTCTCCAACAACCTCATCCATCTTGGTGTACTGCACAAAAATTATCTTTGAAACACGGTATGGTGGCATATATCTGTAATTTCAGCAGTGGGGTGATTGAGGCCAGGAATGGCTGTGAGTTTGAGGCCAGCCTGAGCCATGTGGTGAGTTCAAAGCTAGCTTGGACTATACTAAGATCCTGTCTCAAGCCATCCCTGCAAATTTATTTTTTGTGGGCACAACCTCAAAGAAAAGATGAAATATATTAGAACAGTTTCAACCTCAATTTTAATGCATACTCTTCAATAGGAAATTCAGTCCACTTGATTTCATGGCATCAAAACTTATTTGCAGACTTTATTTTTACTAGATAACCAAACCCCACATTCCATTTCTGCAATACAGCATTTTTTTTTATTTAGTTATTCGATATAGGGTCTCACAATGCAGCTCAGACTTGTAGTGATCTTCCTGTCTCAGCCTCCCCAGCACTGCCATCACACCCAGTTTTGGGGTCGGCATGGCACCTGGGGTTCCAGGGCCAGCACAGCATACGGTACCAGGGATCAAACTTGAGACCTTGAGCTTGCCGGGCAGGTGCTTATGCAGCCGAGTTACCTCCCCAGTCCTATTTTTGAAATACAGCTCCTTTTAGAGTAACCTCTTCAGCTTCAAACCCTAGTGTGGGTTAACAGAGATCGACTAAAAGCTTTTTAGACAAGGACATGGTCAGACCAATATTCCATATCATGGCATACTTTTCTTAATTGAAATCCCTGAAATACTTAGAAGTGTTTTTATAAGATTCAGAGGAATTTTGTATTGAAGTTTAACTGTAAATGTACTGTGATATAATGGCAATTTTCATTATTTGCTAAAGGTGTAGAAATAATCTTTTTTGGCGGAACTGGGGATTGAACTCAGGCCCTTACACCTGCCAGGGAAGCACTTATTCCACTGAGCCGTCTCCCCGGCCGAAATCCCTGAAATACTGATACCCTAACTTCCTTCCTTGTTGCATTCCCCAGCACTATCACTATCACCTATAATAATACACAACTCAAATATTCTGTTCATGTAAGTCTTCAACTAGACTATCAAATCCACAAAAGATTTCTTACTTTTGTTCACCGCTGTCTCCAACACCTATTTAGGTGAGTGACATATAATGGGTCCCTTAAATATACTTGCTGAATGAACATATTTAATAATTTGGTTGTAGTTTTAGGTATAATTTATTTTGAAAAGCATTATACTATTAAGATAATCAAGAAACAAATTTTGTACAACAAAGGTTAAAAACAAAGCAGAATGGTGTTTTAACAGTTTGATTTTTCTGTTAAGCTATTTTAAAGTTATTTTCAGAAAACCTCATTTTTCCCAAAATAAAGTTTAAAGCAAATGATGTTGATGAACTAATTAAAACAAGAAGCAACAGCTTTCCATTTCTCTAATTAAGACAAAGGAATAAAGAATTATAAGACTACAGTAGTACTGAAAACACTATTGTATTGACAAGTATTTTATTTTACTGCTTAAGTCACTCTGAAAAATTCAAGATTACCAATATCTCTTTTAAAAACAAATCTGCTTTTTCTAAATACTTTGTTTGAATCCAACTAGCTAACACTGCCTGCTTGTGAAATACAACCACAAATACTGTGGATTTCAACCTTAATTTTCAATAAATGTTTATATCTTAATTCAGATAATCTTAAACTGGTCATGACATGTTTTAATGTTAATACAGATAAAAATCTTAAAGCAGTCAAATAGCTCATTTACTGTTCAACTGGTATTTCACAGTTCCTTTTTTGGCCTCAAATGACGAAATTTCTCTAACATCTCTGGGGAAACTACTGTAGTATAATGTTTCCTGAAATTGTTCTTGTTTTTCCCTGCACCATTTCGTGACATCTCTTCACCTAGAAATGTTACGTACAATTTCATTGTTCTGCAGGAAAAGCCTGAAGGAGAAGCGAACGGAAAAGGAATACAGTAAGGAAAACAATTTGAAACAGGATAACATAAAGCATAGAAGTAAATGTGAGGCAAAGGAGAAAAGAAAAAAAAAAGTATACATAAGGGAAAGAAGATACAGAAAAGAAGAAAGAAAAACACTTCTGGGGGTCAGGGAGATAGCTCAGTAGAATAAGCACTTCTCTGGCAAGTGCAAGGGCCTGAGTTCAATCCCCGGTTCCGCCAAAAAAAGAAAAAACACTTCTGTATAGAAAAACAAAAAACTGAACAGGACAAAGATTTATTTATTAGAAACGCAAAAATCCTATGAAAAGCATGATCTCTTCAAGGAGTGCCATTAAAACTCTAAAAGGCATTAGTTGAAACACTGGACAAGAGCACTACCTCTTATTTTTACATGTTTTAATAAAGCTAGTTTTACCCATGAATGAAGTACAGGCAGTAGATAATGCAATTGATCTCTAAAAAACTACAGAAGTGGTTGTCATCTTCGCCAAAAAAAAAAAAAAAAAAAAAAAAAAAAAAAAAAATCCCTGGATTGGGGGCGGGGCAGTAAATTCAGCAAGAAAGCCAGAAAACCATGCACTGACAAGTCAGGTAGATAAGACACCGGTTAACAAACGCCTCCTACTATACTAAGTCTCCACCAAAGAACTGGGGAAGAAGGGCAAAGAGCTCTTGCCGTACCGCGACCGCAAGGGTGGGGCATGGTTGGAAAAAATAAATTAGAGGACGAGTTATCCCGAGAGGTTTAAGAAAGCTAGGTGACTAGGATCTGGAGCTTGCACACCAGACGGCAAATGATGCTGGTGCGCCAGGGCAGTTTCGGGGGAAGTGCGAAAGTGGGCTGCTGGAGAATGTTCGCGGTGCCCAAGCTGACAAGAGGTACCTTTGGGGTAAAGGATTACGAGTGCAAGTGGAGAGAGCGCAGCGGACGAGGCGAAGGGGGCGTCCGGGCGTGGGAGGCCTGGGCAGCGGCCGACTGCACCGGCCGCCTTCTCGGGGCACGCCTTTCCAGCTCCCCCCACTCAGCCCCTCTCGGAGCCGCCCCTGCCCGGGCCACAACGGCGGGCGCAGCTGTTTCCGCCGGCCCGGGCACCGCGGCGGGGAAGGCATCCGCGGGGCGGGCAGCCAGGCCGGCAGCGGCCGTGTGCGAGTGCGGGGAGGCGCTCCCGATATCACGACCGCAAAGCCGACGCCAAACTTCGCCCTTGCTCCCCCTTGGCCCTCCGCATCCCGCAACTTCCCGGACAGCTGGTGCCCGCTTCGACCGAGCGAAACGTCCCCCGCCCTTCCCCTCGCTGCCTCTCACCCCTCCCCGACGCCCGAGCTGCGGAGAACACCAACACCGGCCCCTGGGGCCACCTCAGAGTCCGCGCGGAGGGCCGCGAGTCCTGGACACCGGCCCCACCCAAGAGCCAGCAGCCTCTCAGCGGCTCCGGCGCCCGCCCAGATGCACCAAACTCCTCTCACCTGCATTGACGCCATGATGGAACCATCCCCCCAAGGCCAGCGAGGCCAGAGACGCAGGGGGCGGAGCTGCCGTGCTCGCGTCACGCCGCGGGGGCCCAACACCCCGGGCGCGGGGGCGGGGCGTCCGATGGGAAGGGGACGACGCTCGAGGATTGGCTGGCGCGCGGGGGCCCGCGGGGGGGCGGGGCCGCGCTGACCGGCTCCGTGGGTACCCTGAGCCCCGCCGGGCGTCTGCCGCCGGTGCCCGCGGCACGGGACTCCCTGCTGCAGTTTTGACTCGACCACTGCGACTGATTTATGCGCCTACATTTAAGTTTGCTAAGATTCTGATGATGTCGACATCAGGGTGGTTGTTTTTTCCGTTTCATTTTGTGTTTCCAAATACAGATGTATGGTTTACCAAATTTTTCCTCTTGGATGTGTTTACCCACTTTCGCAGCCTTGCTGGCCAGGTTAAATAAAGTTTGTCCACGAGTTCTTTCTGCTCTGAGCGGATCTGGAAACCTCATTACTTTGTGGAAAAGAGACACAGTTTTCCTTGTAAAAACTGAGCAGAACAATACTGTGGTACGCTTGAAAGGCAAGGGTGTTTAGATTTGTAGAGCTGAAACTTGCCTGAAAGGAGGAGAGAAAGAATTTTGAGTTTTTCTTTTGTTTGTGTGCGATTGTTCTCTCTGTGACTCCAATCTCCTCAATTTTAAATTTCATGAATATATCAGTAATAGCTGATTGATTTGACCCTGGACGCGAATGTAACGTACCAGCGTCACACTGGAATACACACTTAGACCTTCCTTATAACCAGAGTTCTTTTCAGCCTATTTCATGGGGAGCATTTTTTTGGTTGGCAGTTTGGTGGTCACCAGACCCACGGATAAATCTGAGTAAGAAAAGCTGAGCACAAAAAAATTTATTCTCGGAATGCACCAGTTCTGCCAACATTTATCAGAATCCACGTTTTTGAGGGCTCCTCCAGAACAGAAAGATGTCACCGTCTCAGAAGGGGAAAATAGAAACTTAAAGCTTGTATCTCGTGTTCTAATAAATTCTTTTTAAGGGTAGCTGATACAGTGAGTAAAGGGTTTTTACTTTACCAGAATGAAAGCTTTAAAAGCCGTCATTTTATTAATTTTTTTCCAGACATTCTCTAAGATATAAATATAACCAATGTAGGATACCATTGTTCACACTCTTTAAGGATAGACTGTTCTCTGGGAACATCTATAATGTTACCTGTTCAAAAAGGAAAAGGAGTTTTAAAATATGGCATTTTCTATGATACAATGTTAAATATACTGCACATCCTCAATACACAAGAAGTTCTATGGATGTATCCTTTGTTCTTTCAGACTTACACTCTATTGCCAGAAGTGGTTTTTTGGGGTTTTTTTGTTTGTTTGTTTTTTGGTTTTTTTTTTGCTCCGAATGCCTTCAAGGCATGACTGGCTGGCTTGAGTTGTGGGGATCGAACCACAGCAACCTGAGCCTGACGGCTTTGTTGAAGCAGCCACTTAAAGAACTGAGAAGGGGCAGGCCCCCTCTACTGTCAGAAATGGGCTACTTTTCCCTTTGTGTGTAAAATCTTTGTGGAAATAGGTTTCTGCTGTCAATATTACAACAGTGAGTAAAACCACATATTCTAATAAGATATGAAAGCTCTCAGAAAATGTTTCCAGATATATTTTCTTCTAGAGAGATCTACTCCTATGATCTCAGAAAATTGCTCTCAAAGATAGGGTTTTACCACTTAAGTTTCATCTTGCCTCAAAGCTGATTTTTCCTAAAGGTTTACATGACCTTAGGTGACCCCACAAACGAAGCATTATGGCATCATCAAAGCAACAGCCTGCCAAGGTGAATACTAACAAGGATGAAAAGTGGTTACAGGAATTCTGACTTTGCTCATAGAACTAATTTATGGCCCCTTGGGTTTTATATGTGCTAAAGGGATCTTCACAGGAAGGCAAAGTCGATACCAAGTCACATCTTTCATAGGAAATAGTAAATTGAGCACAGTTAAGCCTCTTCTTCATTCTTTCATTAATGTATGATAGATGGCTGTGGTGTAGCTCGGCAGTTAAGTTTGTGCCTCGCATGCGTGATGCTCTAGAGATACTGTGTTCCAGAGCTGAAACAATGACTTCCAGAAGGTATGCAAATATATAACCATATTTGATGACCATAAAATGTTTATATGTTAAATACTTGATTATATAATATTTGAAAATGAGGCTCACATCTCCTTTACTTAGAGCATGAAGGGTACTGTGAGATAGTCAGGTATTAAAATGTCTGAAAATACTGTAAGTATAAGAGGAAATGGATCTGTCATAAACTCTATAGGAGTGAAAATGAGACAATTACTTTAGAAAACAGTTCAGCAATAATAAAAAGTTTCCATAGCCTTACAAAATCTTTTTGATATTATCATTTGGTGTTTTTTTTTAAATTTATGTGGGGGGGGCAGCTGGGCCCACCAGGGAGCGGGGCTGGCTGGCATGTGGTGCTGGGGGATTGAACCACGGTCCCTGTGCTTTGCTAAGCTTGTTCTAAGTAGGTGCTTTAGACCACTGAGCCATCTCACCAGCCCCATATTATCATTTGTAACAAAGATACTTAGATTCTTCATTTCTTTTCTTCTTTTTCTTTTTTCTTTTTTTTTTTTTTTTTAGCAAGGATTGAACTCAGGACCTTTAGCTTGCCAGACAGATGTTTATGCCACTGAGGTATCCTCCCCAGCCAAAAATACCTAAAAGACATCTTAAATGTCCCCGCCCCCTGGTGGGCTGAGCTGCCCCCCCCCCATAAATTAAAAAAAAAATGATAATAGCAAAAAGATTCTGTAAGGCTATGGAAACTTTATTATTGCTGAACTGTTTTCTAAAGTAATTGTCTCACTTTCACTCCTATAGAGTTTATGACAGATCCATTTCCTCTTACACTTACAGTATTTTCAGACATTTTCAGTATGCCTTTCTCATGCAGGTTCTTATTTAAAGCAAAAACAAAAACAAAAAAATACTAATATGTTTTGAGACAAGTGGAAAAATTAATCATAGAATGGTTAAAGTGTTATTAAAGAATGATTATTTTTGTTAGGTTTTGTTTGTTTGTTTGTTTTTGTTTTGTTTTGTTTTGCGGAATCAGGGATTGAACTCAGGCCCTTGCACTTGCCAGGCAAGTTCTTATTCCACTGAACCATCTCCCCAGCCCCTATTTTTGTTAGAATTGATAATGAACTTTTTAAAAATTTTCACAACAGGGGCCAGGGACATGGCTCAGTGGAATAAGCGCTTCCCTGGCAAGTGCAAGCGCCTGAGTTCAATCCCTGGTTCTGCAAGAAAAAAAAAAAATTAGAAATCACTATCAGATCAAGAAAAATCAGTTGTCCTTTGACAACATTGAAGAACCCCCAGTGTGCCACTGAGCTGCAATGTTGGTAAGGTAACGTGATTTATGGATGCTTTCATTCTATTCATTTTTTAGACTGGGAAGTCAAAAGCAGTCCCATCTGTTGGTTGGAATGTGAAAAGGCAGAGTGATTGAAGCAGAAGTCTTTGCCTGTTCTGTCTCCACAGAGTAGTTTGTTCTTAGTGACTGATCTCACCAGAGAAATGATTGTAGTTAAACAATCTACAGCTTATTTATTACATATTAGAAAAGACACTAAATAAAGAGCTCAAAAGTTTTCATTTTTATCCAAGTTCTATCATTAGTGAGCTTGAGCAAGACTACACACATACACACACACACACACACACACACACACACACACACACAGGATGGAATAATAGAAGAGCTTTAAACTGACCAACATCCTTGGTAGCCCTTTTATTTGGACAACGGTGCACTAAGGTGCCCAGTATGGGCCTGAACTTGTGATCTTCCTGCCTCAGGCTCCCAGAATGCTGGGATTATAGGCATGTGACACTGTACTTTGCTTGGGTTTGTTTCTTTATCAGTGAAATTTTGAAAGTCATACTGTATAATCTTTAGAGCTTTATCTAGATTTCAAACTCTATGCATTCAGTAAAAAAAAAAAAAAAAAAGTTTTTTCTTTCGATTTATTTTGAGACAGCCCATCTTCTGGCCTGAGTCTCCAAAGTGCTAGAACTACAGGCATGTGCCACTGATCCCATCTAGAACATTACAATTTTATTTTATTATTATTATAATTTTGTGTTTTTGAGAAAAAACTACTGACTGTGTAGTTCATGCTGGCCTTGAGCTCACTTTGTAGCCCAGGCTGGTCTGGAACTCAACACAATCCTCCTGCTCAGCCTCCTGAGTGCTGAGATTATAGGCGTGTGCTGCCACGCCTGGCTGAATATCACAATTTTAAATGATTTGTTTAAAATATAAAGGACAGGGGCTGGGGAGATGGCTCAGTGGAATAAGCGCTTCCCTGGCAAGCGCAAGGGCCTGAGTTCAATCCCTGATTCCACACACAAAAAAAAAATAATAATAATAATGAAATAAAATATAAAGGACTGAGATTGTAGCTCCATGAAAGAGTGCTTGCCCAGCAGACATGAGACCTTGGGTTCAATCTCCAGCATAAGAAAATAAAGGAAAGATAGATAGATAGATAAATAGATAGATAATGGAATGGAAATATTGTATTGTTTTAAGTTTTAAAGTCACTTTTATAAATATATTAAGGAATGAATCTGGCTTCATTGTATTTATATGGAAATACTTGGAGGCTTTATTTAACAAATTTGAAATGCTAATTAGTTCTAGTGGAAATTCATTGCATGAATTGGCAAAAATTCCATATTCCCCATACTCACAATTTAGGGCAATACTTCAATAAAAGTGTATGTTGGCTGGCCATGGTGGCCAATCCTGTAATCCCATACTTGGGAGGCTGAGACACTGAGAGTTTGAGGCTAGCCTGGACCACAGAATGAGTATGGCCAGCCTTAACTGCACAGTGAAACCCTGTCTCAAAAAGACAAAAAGGGAAAAAAAGCAAGTTTAGGCAAGCTCAGGGACTGCCGTTTGATCGCTGGCACCACATGCCCCCTAGCGCAGGATGAGCAGACCAGAGAATGGGCATGGTGGTGCATGCCTGTAATCCCAGTGCTGGGAA